GCACAACAAACCTGCGATAAATATTTGTCCAATGGTTTCAGAAAAACTGCTATCATGTATCCATATGTATATCCAGATTAAAGCCTGTCATGCCAGATTCACTTAGTGCATTGCAGAATTAATAAGACTGTATAAGGTATATGTAAAACAATGCAAATACTGATCATCATAATCACACTATTTTCCCTGCTCCTCCAAGATTATTCAACATACATAAGAGCACCTGCCTCAGTGCTAATCCCTCCCGCCTTAAGATCATTATATCACTTATCATTTCAAAACCCATAACTTGCCAAAATGTTTGATCTTATTAAATAGTTCCAACTTATACAAAAATGTAATAAAGGAGAATTATGCTTATTATTCAAATGAGTAAGCAGTGTCCATAACCAAACAAGTGAAAACATATATGAAGTCCATACAGGGTTAGGATCATCAAAAGTCTCCTATAATCCTTGTCCTTGTACCTTTCATGAGGCTTGTTGAGGGCAAGGAAAGGGAATTACTAGGACATAAAGTAGATAACATTGGCCTTTTCTATCTGAGGTAACAACAGGAGTATAAGTGCATCCTTAGTAGTTCATAAATCCTGTTACTTTCCCATATCCCTTTTTTGTTTTGCTTATAGAAAACATGCACTATACCAGGACTGACCTCCCCTCTCCCAAGGTGCTTTAACCCGCTCTCACAAGATCTCCCAAGAGGATAAAGAAGACTGACCTGTATAACATAGACTATACAATTAACTGCAATATACCAGGCCCTGAGCTTGTTTGTTGAAAGACTTTTAGCCTGTTAAAGAAACAAAATTTCAAAATCAGGAAAACATGCATATGCATCATGATTGAAGAGTACATTAAGTTATTAGAACAACTACCCCTCAAAGAATTGCATGAGCAAGATAACAGATAACGCAAAAATATCAGTCAAAGTGGACACTGAAATCATGTGAAACAATAAAAGTTGCATCGAAAAAGTAAGGTTCAGTGATGCAACTCAGTTGTTTCGTGCTCACAATAATCATTTCAGTAGTGCTGATATCCTACACAAGCAGATAACAAAGCAAGCCAAATATACACCATATATCTCATTGCATGAATAGGTTTTTTTAACATGAAAATGCATCAGAATGGTACAGAAAAATAGATCAAGAACACCTCCACACTTGCCTGATAATATATCTCAGCCCAGAAAAGAACCAAAAGTGTGTATGTCGTAAAGAATAACAGCCCGGGGAAGTCCAATAACACTGATGTTAAGACCTGTGTAAAGCATAACATAAGACTATTACCATGAGCAACATCACACATTTATATCTTAAAAAGTAATAAATCAACATCACGTCATCACAATGTAAAAGAATGAATATAATGACCAAACATAATGACTTTCCACACACAATGTCGTTTGTGATAAATCGAAGCACTGCTTTTTCTTGGGAATATGCTTAAGCGTGATGGACTCGGGTCAGCCACAGCCCATGAGGGTCTACGCCAGAAGGAAAGTCAAGCAATAGGGGCTCTAGGAAGGTCAACCAGCAGCAGGAGTGGTTTCCAACGCATCAAAACTCCGATGAGCAAGAGGACAAGTTTAATTAAGAAAAGAAGAAGGAAAGAAAGCAACTCACTTCTAATATGTTTTTCTATGGTCTTCCTATTTATGTTAAGTAGTCACATGTTAAGAATTAAGGTCACCTTTGAGGCTTTGACCATTAGTATTCTTAGTATAAGTAGCATGGTATGTGTAACTAGGAAGGCATCCAGAAATTTGTGAGGAAACTGAGATTGGCAGCCTCAAGTTGCCAAGTTGCTAACTTGTTATCTTAATTATTAATGAACAATCAGTCCTCCTTCTATATTGAGAGTAATAATCTGTTAAATTAGTCTAGTCCATTACATTAAGCCTATCGAATCTCCGGGTCTAAATAACAGAAAGTAACAGCTTAAACTTCCAAAAACACAAACACTCCATCTTTAGGGCTATTTAGTGTATGTAATATTATCCTTGTGATGTGCACTAAACGATGACAATGTTTGTATTTTTGTTATACTCTTTTTAACAAAGGCAAAACAACATCATGGTCAAAACTGTCGCTGGTGTAAGCTTCAAAGGTTACTAAATCATCAATATCACACACATACAGCTACATAATAGTATAATACTCGAAGTACGAAACTTCTCTTGGATGGAAACTCCATTAAGCATTCTGATGTAAACATTACAAAATTAATCTCTGAGAATTTCACTTGGCAACATTGTTGTACCATGTTGCTTTTGACTCTTAATATATAGGATCTAATCATAATCATAAAGACTCAAATATAACTTCATGAAGTAAGAGTAACAAAAAGGTTTGCTCACCTTGGGCTTCAAAGTAAATACAAACATGTGAAACCCGAAAATCACAGCGCGCACTGCAACAAACAAGGTACCAATCTTAACACCAAGTAATTACACAAAACTATAAGAGGCAAGAAATAATATAAGCAAGCTAAAGAGTCAATTTTCAATCACCTCCATTGACAATAAAATTCATCAAATGGAAAACCTTCTGCGTTGTCCAACCATATTCAGGCACTCTCATTTCAATCCTTATAAGTTGAGTCTGCTCATCATCAAATTCAACCAAACCCAAATAAATTTTCAATATTAATATCAATTTAATCAACAAAATCCCAACCAAACCGAATTTGATCAAAGTCAAAGCATTGGAATTAGCCAATTAAAGTCAAATTAAACTCTGACTACACCTAATTTTAGCTCAATTTTAAAATTACAATCATCTGAGCAAGTTAATCAACAAAAACCCAGATACCCAAAACTCAAAGAAAGTCAAAGGATTGAGCTTTAGCTAATAAAATTCAAATTTATGCAAGACCCAGTAATTAAAAGTAAAAGAAGTTAACTTGAACAACTAAAATAAATAAAATTGGCAGAAAATTGAACAAGAGGAAAGAAAGATTACAAGAGCAACAGCAGAAACGATGGCATAGATAGCACAAAGGGTGAAAAAGATGGCATCTTGCCACTGAGTTGACTCGTTGATCTCGTCCCACCAATTCAACACGAACAAGGGGCGTGTGAATCCAGGTGACGCTAAGAAGTTCAGCGCCAAAGTCGCCATTTTTACACCAAGAAACAGCAAACAACACCAAGAAAGAGTAGAAGAAGGTGATGATGATTCTGGAAGACAGACAAAGAGAGAGAGAAAGAAAAGGTCCTACCAATGCCAATGGGTAGTTCCCACGTTGCCGAGATAGAAAGATAGAGAAATTTGAATTATTAGGGGGAGATCAATATACGTACTCCTCACGGGTTATTTAGGGGAATTAAGTATGGAGTTTGAACTATGGAGGAGTTTTACTTGGTTTAAAATTTTAAGCCAATTATAATTACTTTCTCCGTTCTTTTTTACTTATCGATTTTGATTTTAAACTATTTACTATCCTTTTTTTTTTATTTTTTTTGTATAATATGTAAAGAAAAACAAATTTATATGATATCTTTTTGAATTCGTCTCAATTAATACTATCTTTAATTATGGAGAATTAAATTTATTGATCGTTAAAGTTTTGCATTGACAATCGTGATAAAAAAAACAGGTCAAGTAAAAAAAAAACAGAGAAAGTATTATTTAATGCTTTATTTTATTTTTCTAGGATTGAACCTCGGTTTTTTTTTTTTTTTTTTTTTTGTTCTGAATTTGTAGACCACATAAATTCTTTGCTGAAGCTCATAGCTGGTCCAACTAAAATAAGCTGCAATTTAGGTATTGTTTGGCTGACAATTGAATTAATTTCCTATGGGCATTTATATTTCATGGAAATTAAAATCACACATCAAATTTCCTAAGAATTAACTAAACTTGTGTACTTGTATATGGGTGTTTACAAACCATGAGAGTTTTGAGTTACCATGACTAATAAATTCCCATGTTTTGTGGAAATTGGAAATTTCCATGATTCTACACTTTTCACAATCTCACTAAACAAGTCCTTTATTTTCTAAATTCATGGAATTTTTCAATTCCTCCATGTTTATGTGCAATCAAACAACACTAGTATTTTATGGCTTTACTTTTCTCGCTTCTTTCTCAATGTCACTCATTCTTTTGTTCTTTCATATCGATTCTTTGTGTCCCTTATTGTTTGCAACATTTAATCCAAAAAGCTCTCATATAAAGTGGACCCATGATGTAAACAAAAGGAGAATAATGGAGTTATAAATTACCATTTCCACTAATACTAACAACTTTCTCTCTCCTCAAGGATATTCCTCTGTCCCTCAAAACTCTTCTCTAGCAACAATCATGCTAGGCTTCAAAAGAGCTTGGAAGTTGATTATGGCTGCAGTTTCCATAATTTTGCCCCAATTTTTAGCGGTGTTTGTGGTTGCAGTTAGTCAACAATGATTGTGATTTAAGCCTACTAGTAGATATTGTTCGCCCAAACCCTCAAGGGTCTACTTTGATGCAAGACAGATTTTCTACCCAAAAGGGCTCTACTAAATTGAGCTATTAACCCAAAAGGATTTTACAATATGTACAGGCATACGCTGCCTTCATTAGGGCTTTTTTACACCATATGAAAAAAAAAAAAAAAAAAACATGTAGCAAATGTACGACAAATACTTAACATGTATGTAGTTACTAAGCATTGGATTTCGAGTTCAAAAGGGCAAATGTGACTAATAATCTGATGGAAACTATTTAAGTTTGTGGGGCTTTGGAACGAATATTTAACTAAAGGAAATTAATTTGCTTGGTCCCCTTGATTTAGGGCTTTAAATTTTTGTTAGACTGATTGGATGGCCCAGGCCAATACAATACACTAGTATTGTATGTTCGAATCAACTAAATGCAGATTTGCAGATAAGACTTTCATACAATTAAGTAGTTTTAATTTGTTGTTTATTTATTTCTGTATATATAAACCATTATCGTCTAAATTGTGAAAAATTTAATGCACAAGGCCATAAACAATGGAAGAAAAGACAAGGTCTTGTGAGAAAGAAGTAGTAATTTTGGAGTAGGGTAATGTTACGACTTTCACAGATTTATGTAGCGTAATTGGAAGCCTAGAAAGCAATACAAATTCCGGTTGCTACATTGTTGAAAGAAGGTGAACAAGGTGTTACGATGGCTTTAGGACTGGTTATCTATAATGTCAGCAGCCGTAACATCAGCAACAGACCACATTTCTTGAGTAATAAATGGAGACCACGAAATTTACTTCAGAGTTGAGCAACCACAAATTTTATAGAGTTTGGGTCCGATAAGTGGAAGGCTGCCCCACAGCCCCAGTCATGTATTGTTAGGCTATTATCCATGTTGTGTTCCCCTTAAGATTATATAACATGCCTTGAGAGGATCACATTGCGATAGTATCAGCTTCCACAACAGCGGAGATGGAAGACACACAAAGAAACCAGTATCGGCGTTTGCCATCTTTGTGGCCGTCATCAATCATTGCAAGACCTTCCTGCAATCATAAACACAATTCCCTAAGCACCAGCTGAAAGTTTTTAACAAAACTGAGATCAGAAGGCATAGAATAAAGACTCGCCTCTAACAATGTATCAAGAGCATCAATTGCACGCCCTGCTGACCAAGAAAGTCGTCTTTCTACCTCTTCTACAGTCACATAGCCTTGCGCCTGAAAGTGATATACAATACAAATTGAAAATAAAATCAGTCATTTAGACAAGACCCAAAAATAAAAAATGGTCAGTGATATAGAGCAAGTTCATATGAGCACTGGTTTTCAGATAAGATGAAGCGCACAGCCATCTCAGTTTGACAACTTTACATGATTGTAAGACTTGCATCAGCTATCTGAATTTAACAGACCACCATTCATATACTTTATCTATCCACTGCCCTTTTATTCTTATAGGCATATGAAGATGCCACTATTCATCAAGAGCACATAGCTTCCAACTCCAAACTAGGAAGAATAAGCATACAAAAGTTCAGAACAGTTAAAGAATTTATACATAACCTAGAAAACTACATGCGAGTATTAAAAGAAAAGCTAACACAAACCTCCACAGCCATGAAATAGGATGATAACAGGATATAATAATTTCACCTCAAGTTAATTTACGGACCTGTCAGACCTCTTCAAACTAGAATATTAATGATGCTAGATCTATCCATCATAAGAACACAAGGAAGTATGGACAGAGGCCAAATAAGGACCAGTAAAAAGCACAGGATTCCCCAAACTGATTGATGACAGGGATGGATTGAACCCTGTATACCAGAAAATAGAGGAGGCTAGGATAAAAGAAAATAAATAATACATAAAATATTGTCTCCTTATATGACAATTACTGCAGCATAATCTGCTTTATAATATAAAGTCGATGATTTCATAAGGGAAGAAGCAACTAAGAGGGCTCTACCAGCAAATCCAATGCAGAAGCTATTAGCACTTTAGCGGTAAGATAACAGAAGTTGTAAGCACCTGTTTTAGAGGGCACACTGCATATATACAACACAAACATCTCCGGAACCAATATAACATTAGAGATCAAAATTCAAACAGGTCAGATCAGCTTAGACAAGATGAACCGGCCACTCGGCCAGGAACCAGTCCTGCTTTAACTTGAATGCCTGGACCCAAAACTTGTCTACCCTCTACCCACAATCCAGCAATATCATCTAATGGACCAAATAGGATTTGTGACTCAGACAGGCCTGCCCCAGGAACCAGGCAAGACAAGGTGAGAAACTACACAACACATGCCATGTAATTTCTTCTTTAAGTAATTCTTAAGAGACACAAGGAAAAAGAGTTAGCTTGGTCTGTCGGTCTCTTGCCTGAGTCAGATATTAATTTTCCAGAAAGAACATTGTTGGGAGACGAATTATCCAACACTAAACAAACACAATAAGTGCGTGAATCAATAAATAGGAACAACAACATAAAGAGTCCTTTATTTTCATAGAAGTTGCATTTAACTAGCAAAAAGTTAATTAGTGACCTTTGAATAAACACTTTAGATAGCATAATTTTCAAGTTATACAAGAAAAGGTGCAAGCAATAAAAATATTACATTGAGATCACTAACGAGTTTATTAGAAGCTCTATCAGGTTCAAATATAAAAGAGTATGTTTATGTTAGTATCCTAAAAAACCTACCCCTTTTATCTTAATAAGTAAACAGCTCTACTGTGTATACTATGTTTGCAAATCACATCAAAAGCCAACCCATCGAGCCCCATTGAACTTGAGGGCAGAAATTAGAGCATAAATAAAGAGAGTATCTCTCCGTTGAAATGTTAATGACATGGTCAGGCTTATTTTCTTCTAACATAATATGGCCAGATAGAAAGGATACAAGGATTTCACACAATTGAGATTATGAATCCTGAAAGATACATCCTCCTTTCCAATACAGCATTACAGCAACACTAAAAAGAGCCATATAAAGTTAAAGATGCATTCTAACAACTTAAGATCCAGGTTCTCAACTGGAAGTTTGTTTGGCAAATACTCAAAAGTACAGCTCTACAGCTACAGCTTCAGAATATATTGAAAAAGAAACAGTATGAACTTATACAGTCAACCATAATTCATTCTATGGTCAATCATCACCAGATGTATGACATGTATCCACAATAGACATTTGCACCCTTGATTATTATGTTATAGAGCTCATTATCAATCAACAGTCCAAGAGGGAAAAGGAATTATATCATTGAGGTCATAATACATATCCATTATCAAGGAAAGATGCAACAAGAATGGCATGAGGATGTAAGTACTTCTTAGTCAGGTTTCCCTAAAAGATGATAGGGCTCAAGTCTATGGTAGAAGTGAGGACTAAATTCATACAGGTAGATAAAACCAAATCAAGTTAGCCAAATATATGGGAGACTGATAAAGAGAAACTTTTAAGTCTCAAGATACAAACCTAATCTAAACCTATCAACCAAGCTTTGAAAGAGTGCATGCTGATCATTACTAGTAAAAATCACATGGGAGTAATTTGGACTTCAAAACAATGTGGAGAAGCAATTAATAATGAAATTGCTACAATCAAGGGTAGGACACTGCCTAAAGAAAAATTACCAAGGTCAACACTAATTCCTTTTCCTAATTTATTACACTAATGAAAAATCTAAGCAAAAAAAATAGAATAATAGATATATCAATGGTAAAGCAGTCCTATATAACAAAATTCAACAAATCTAGAAACACTTCCTCCAGTAGATGGGTTAGGAAGGGAAGTTACCTTAAAAGTTCCAAATCAACTATAATCATTAGTTCTTAATTAGTTTGCAGTCACCAACATCTTAGCTTTATAAGCCATCAGTAAACAAATTAACAAATTAATGGGGAGCTTTTATTCCACAATCCTTTATTACTTCCCAAAAAAAAGATATTTTTTTTTCCTAATGAGTTGGTTCATCCGTTCATGTTTGTCCATAGAAAGTCTCTTCCTATTGAATTTGAAATGTAATGAACTGAATAAGGATTTTTTGTTTTTTTGTTTTGTTTTGTTTTTTTTTCTGGACTTTCTTCAAAACTTTCCTCATTCGAGCTCTAATAATGCATCTGATGAGTACCATTTTCCGCTTCAAAGAACTGAGCACAATAAATTTAAATACAGTGAATTAAGTAGCCTATCTGTCCATAAATGATACACCCTATCAATAGTTTTACATCCTCCCCTTCCCTTCCTCTCTATCTCTTGCAATCTAGTCTTATGTTGTTTCTTCAGTAGAAGGCTCAGAATAATCAGAAGTCAAAAAAAAAAAAAAAAAAAAAAAAAAAAACCCAGACAGTGATTCATATATCATAATAAAAACCATGTTTTTATACTCAAAATTCACGGAAGAAAGCCAGTCTGTAAATAAGCACCTTATATCCCAGACAAAATTGATTATTATCAAAACCACATAGGGCATAGCTAGGATAATTTCATAGTGCTCATTAGAGTATGAGGCATAAAAGTTTTCATATCTATTATCTACCCATACAGAGCTAGAAATGGCAGGAGCCACGAGATATCATTGGGTAAAAAATGTCAAAGATTCTTGAAATGCACTAAATAGCTATTTTGGACTGTGTTGGCAACAAATTAAGAGATATTCCATGATTCCATCTTGTCATTTTACGATCACATAGAATGCTAGGAATCTCCCGATTGGATCTTTTAAGTTTTATCTCTCTTCCATTCCCTTTCCTCACAAAAAAATTTAACAATGCTAAGACTCTTCAAATCGACACCGCCACCTTTCCTTCCTTTTCATGGTCCCCAACACTCTGAGAGACGATACAAAAATCAGGCAGAGGTTTGTAGCAGATCAATCTGGGCTCTTGTGGAAGAGACCCTCCCTTGGGTCTCTGTCTCCATTATTGCTTAGGAAAAAAGAATCCAAGGATTCACAATCTAAAAGCCCTGATTTATATCCTCTAACAAGGGAGTGCTCACACTTTTTGCCTACGTTATACGAAGTATATGATTACAGAATCAGTCTGTTCTGATATGTCAATCTCCTACTGTTCACTCCAGGCTTTGCAATATATTTATCAGTTTGAAATAACACAATTTCTAAAGCAGGTCCCAAGGGAAGATAAAGTTAGAGTCTGATAAGTGATAACCATCAATGCGTACCCAGTCTCAGAGTTATCCACTAGCATTATAGACTACAGCATGTAAAAAAAAATTATATACAAGAAACAAATTAGCTGTGTCAAAGTACACTTCCAAATTTCAAGCAGGTATACAGTCCTACAAACAAATCTCTGACAGGTAGGCTTTGTAAATTAGTATCCACTAAACTACAAATTTACAATATCACATCAACGAAAAACTATTATAAAATAATAAGTGTGGATTGTAGACAAAACAATGAAATCACACAAAGTGTAAAATAAGCAATTTTCAAGAAAATAAAGACAATAAACAACCTGAGCAAGCTCCAAGATTTCATTGTGATCCTTGTTCAACTCAGTTGGAACAGATCGTATGAGCTTTTTCTTGCCAACAGATATCACCTCGAACCCACTACCTAAAACCTAACAATGGGCACGACAAATGTAAGTCTATTGCAATCACCCTACATTAAGATTAATAAATGTGCGAATTGAAAGCACAATGGTGCACTCAGTAGCTGCAACTAGGTGTTTTGAGCTTAAATAATTTAAGTTGATTAAAGTGCCCCATTAGGATGGTATGGAACTTTCAAAGCTACAGTCATAAGAGTAATTATTTGAATTAGTACGAAATTCTGATCAAAGTCACTTTAGTAACTATACATGATGCATTAGTAAGGATATTTTCCATAGCAAGTGCATCCAAGTAAAAAGACAATAACGTTGAAGCTATAAATTGACAGCCATGTGCACTTGCTGCACAATATCATAAGTAAATGTATATGATTTTTTACATGTTTTGACCAAAAAAATAAGTTCTAGAAATACAAGCAACTTGCAATACCTTCAGCTTAGATATAGCACGTAAACAGTCATCCTCTGATACAGGTTCACGGGCATTTTTACGCTTCAAACGTAGCAGGTCTAATAACTCCTGCAAGTTTATCAAGCCTCCATTGAGGGATCTAGTGGCCAAACATATTTCAACAATTTGCACCCCTTTCTAGGCAACAAGAAGATGTATCAGAAAATACTAGACATGAACAAAAATACATCACACCAAAAGCAAAGGCAGATATCATCATATGCCAAAGCAGGTAAAGCACCATAACATATAGTAGTAGTAAAATTTAGCAAAGCCACAGTAAATATACTATATCGAATGGTCAACAAATGAATCACACAAAAGAGCTAAGTCAGAATGACACTCACCAAGTTCATAATAAAAGTCACCAATTCCCAAAAGCTCTGCCCAAAAACCCTTGTTTGAGGCAAGAGGATCCACCCCTACTTTAGAGCACATCTCATGAAATTGAGCTCTGAACGTCGGGTTTTTCCGTATATCATTCTGCAGATCAATGAAAAGTTAAAAGTAGAATTACATTAACATCTCTGCTTTATGCCAATTTGCACAGTTTAAAAGGATTCTTCTGCATTTAAGTTTTAATAGTTCAAGGTCCCAAGCATAAACTTTGTGGTTACCTAAAGTTCAAGACCATGTAAACAGTAATCCTAATGTCTACTTAGTCAATCAATGGCAGTGAATGATAAAGAAAGGGGCCAATGTGCCCTTACTTCAAACCTCCCCCCCCCCCCCCCAACACCTCCTCAATATACACACACACACACACAAAAGGAATTATCACATACTCCAATGCTTACCTTATCTGTCTAACTATTCAGTACAAATCACTATGTTATTACCCCTCCCCCCTCTCTCAGTACACGCACACGCAAAATGAATTATCACATACTCCAATGCTTACCTTATCTGCCTCACTATTCAGTACACTAACTAGTATAAGTCTATCCAGTCAAATTTTCATTTCATAGTACATTACTTCATCTGACTCGAGAAATCAATCTTAAATTCAAGAGATAATAGATCAATGGAAGCTTCTAAAACAAGAACTATATCCCTTTTCTTCCCTAAAAAGATGCCTCTAACCAGGAATCCCATTGCAATGAAAGAAAGCTCTAGTAATTCTTTCTAGCATCTTTCGGATGGGGTCCGGGACTTCAAGCAAATAACTTTTTAAGCTATATACAGTATCTAGACAATCTAGTAAGTCAGTTGCAGGTAGCTTATTTCCCTGCTTATCTTATAACTCACCTTCACATAAACAATCACTACAAAATCTATACTCAATGTTATCTCACCTTAACATCAATAACTTTACTGTAACAATCCCAACTAATACCATCTAATTTCAGAAACAAATAAGATAAAAGTCAACAGCTCATAAATTAAGAATAGGGGTAAACAAAATGTAATTTTAATCCTACCACAAATTATTTCTAAAATTATTACCAAGAACATCAAAGAAATTCAAATCATACCCTAAATTGTTGCTACATAATAACAATCAATAAAAATATCTAAAACTAATTATAAAACAAAAACCTTATGTTTGCGGGCGAAATCCTCGAGCTGAGAACGAAAAGTGGACAATTGCTCCTTCATAACATCGGTTTTCATGGAGGCTATATTTTCTCCAACTACTCGAAATTGATTCTGCAATATTATCCAAAATCAATTTTTTTTTTTTTTTTTGGGGTGTTGTTTAAATTAATCGAAGAAAATTGAAAGACGAAGATGATGAAGGACTAACCCTAGTAGCAGCAGATGACTGTAAACCTCCGATTCCCGGTCGCCGCCTCATTTTTCCGGCGAGATTTCACACTCTTACGCCGTTGGAGAAAGAGGAGAGAGAATGTGTTTGTGAGTTCAGTTTTACCGGTTTTACCAGTCTGATTTTGATGCCAACGAATCAATAGCTTGGGGAAAGAGTCCACCAGCGCGTGCCAAAATCAATTTTTATTTTTGACTCCCGACTAAACTCGTAAGGGCATGTGTTTCACCCTTTGGATTAATTTAGATTCGAGGGTCAGTTATGGGTGATTAGGTTCTATTCCCCTCCTAATTATCGTTGCGGGGGATTTAACACGAGTGTTCCTTGTAGACTCAATCACCACTACACCAACAACCAATTGGTTGAATGGATAATATTTTAGAATTCAATTGATGTGATTCTAATTTTATCATCATTTTTATAAAAAAAAAAAAGTTAATCAACATCAAAATTGTACCATTTGTTGGGAAATGATTGCTTGGGAGTGATTGAATCGCTGCGTGAGGGTCGAATGGCTCAAACTCTTTCCATCTTATTGTTGATGATATCTTAGATTTATGTTCTTTTTTTTTTTAATGTAGTTTGGTCTTTTGTTAAAAGGAATGGGAATAGGATAGCGCATGAATTGGCTCATTTCCAACCTTGGAAATTTGGTCAACGAGTGTGGAATAATAATTTCCCTGCTCGCATTTTGGATGTTACAAACAATGGTTCATTAATCTAAGTTCCCCTTTGTGGGTTTTTTCAAAAAATAAAAAATAAATAAAATTGTACGGAGTACCATTTTATCTTTATAGTAATCAACTAATCACAATCCTAATTTGTTTTGTATGTAAATCGAACATTTTAATAAATAGGAGTATTGGACACCCATAAACTAATAAACTTTTACTCCGTATATAGGTATGAGTTTATGACTTTGCATTTCATTTTAAGAATAGATGAGACAAGTTCTTGGGAAATTATGAGTACATGCTAAATTTATTGTGGTCTAGCCACTCCAACTAAATTTCCTTCAAGCAATTTTCGAACAAGAACATGTGGTGACAATCAATTTCTCTTGTTTAAAATTTATCTTGGCAAACAAATGCTTTAATAATTTATTCATAAGAAAAAAGCTAAGATTTTTTGTTACTGCATCAATTTCTTTGGTGCAGCAATTACCTGCATCACACTATGCATGAAGAAGCTACAGCTACATCTGATTAACCTTATACTCATCCATGAACACTGATAAGGCAATCAATTGAATTCCGGTGGAAAGCAGAACAGTCATGCTACAACTTCTCGTAGCCTCATAGTTTACAACTAATCATTATACAAAATTTCCAAGAACAAAAATCTAGCTCTAAGCCAGAGCTATGAATCTACACCTCTACATTTTCTATGGTATATTGTGATCTCTCAACAATCTAATCAATGATCTTTCTATACTGTGCTAGCTGTGAAAAGGGAGATAACAAAAGGCAGTGAGAACGAAATTAAGAGACCAAAGATGGGTGTCTTCACTGTATAGTCTGTACTGAATAGTAAGTTTCTAAATTAACCTATCTATGCGGACAAGCCAGTGGCATCCTTAGGTATCAGAAAGAGAAATGCCAGGGGGATGAATGAACAAAAGAACTGAATGACGACTCCAAGAAGAAGGTTGTCAAAAGAACCCGAAGAAATGTTCAAAATCGATGCCAACCAAGCACCAACAAATGAGCCCACGGTGGATCCAAAGTTGTTCATCGACATGAATAGAGCAAACAAGGTCCCTTCAATGCCTGGAGGACACAGCTGTCCTGATAAAATCAGAAATGGCATTAACCTGGTTTCACAACAAGGAATGAAACCATGTCAATATCACAGTATTTAAATAAAGAAAAAAAAAAGGAAAAGAAATCACTACATTAACAAGCAAGCACAAGTATTCCTGACACAACCAGTACTCCATCAATCTCAACTGAAATGTTTTCCTCACAAATGAAATCAGAGAAGAAACAGAGAATATATAACAGCATTCTTTCGAAGTGAAATCAGAATATAATGATATCAAATGTGGCTGGCTGACTGCAACAGACAGCAAAACTATGGGAGAAAGTCCACAATCAAAAGTAAAAACTTCAAAGTGAAATAAGAAAATAACAGTGTCCCATGCAACTACAATCGACTGGTTTTGTGACTGTGTCTCTGTGTCTCTCCCCTCCCAATTGGAAATAAGGTGGAGAAGCAGAAAATAATAAAAATAATGTACAAATGTCTGAATGAGTCACCCAAGATGTTGTCTACAAAAAGAAAAAAAAAAAAAAAAAAAAGCAAAGACAGATGCAGGTTCTGATATGCGAGTAATAATAGAAGCTTACTTGAACTGGTTGATTGCGTCAGCAACTGCAGTCCCCCATAAGACCAACATTTTATCTGAAATCCCGAATGCAATATTTGCTCTAGAAACTAAAACCATGTCTATGAGAATTAGCAAAGACAATGCAATCTGGGCCCACCTGCACAGCATTTTTGACAGAGCATCAGACACATCACACACAGTCAGTATGTGTACAGAAAGGGAAGAGTGCAATAAACAAGAATAAGCATGTATGCAATAAAATTCACAAACTACTTACATAAGAGTTTTTTGTAGCTTCTTTCTCTTCAAGTACTTATTGTAAATGGAAGTTCCAAGCATCAGGCCTAACCAGCCCACAACTCGTACATTTCCCAGGAAGGACGCATCCAAGTTCAACAACTCAGTCTGATAGTAGAACATCACAGTTGAAATGTTGGGGAGGGTAATGTGTGCCAAGAAAAACCAAGCCATGGATCTAGCCTTCCAATTGAAAATAATGATTAGAGGTTGAACACATCCATCATGCATAATGGAAAATAAAAAAAATTATTAACATGATTCACTTCACAAGAGACATGAGCACGAATGAACCAACATTCTAAACATGATCTTATCAAGACATTATGGTGAATTGGGAAGAAATGATGCCAAGGAAAGCAAGGACCATTTACCTTACACAAAATTGACCAAACTTATGTCAACCAAGTTTACCAAATCAAGCCAAGATTTCAGCCAATACAACATCGTCTTAAAAAACAGAGTCCACAGTCCAGACCATATCATGTCACCATACTAAAATTCCAAAATCAAGATATCTTTTTAGGTCACACAATCTAAGTCATTTACCTGTTGACGGTTATCTAATAAAATGGCCCAAAAACATAATGTTTAGCTTTTTGGTGCCGATGAGTAAAATTATTACTCCAAGTAATTTTCTTACCTCAATATGATAGGCTGCCTAAAAGCATTGAATAAACTGTAACTGGCAGTCTTCAACGAGTAAAACCATTGTAATGAAAATGACTTATTCTTGACTTGTTTTGGAGAGTTATTGAACGAAATTGCTTTCTTTCTGTTTTTTTGGCTCTTCTTTCTCCTTGAAGTGCTAGTTTTGGAGAAACCATTAGTTAGACGGTCCACATTTGCTGCATTATCATCACCATTACTCATATGCAAGCTTGTCGAATTTGAATCTTCACTTAAATCTTTGGAATTTGCAGGACTCTCCTCAACCAAACCACAAGACACAAGCTGTAAAGCTGGAAGAATGGCAAACAGCAGAAATATGGCATCTATTTGCAAGTTACTCAGTACATATCCTCCCAATAAACTCCCAAAGATTCCTCCCAAGGCCATGGACATCCAAGAAATTGACTGAAGATCTCCAGCAAATGCAGCCCTATCAATAAATAAATAAATAGATAGATAAATAAATAAATAAAATGAAGTGAGACATAAAAATATTTACATATATGCATCTGGCAGAAGCAGGCTGGCAAGCAATAGAGAAATATTATGATGTTTACAAGAGCTCTTCATTTTATACTAAATCTCGAATCAGTTCATGCAACTAGAGCAAAGAATAAGATTGACATTAATATACATACCTCTCAAACCTTACAGCTTCTGCAATCATTGCATCAGCTACAACATCAGCCATGGCAGAGCCTATATTCTGTGCTGTTAAAAAAAACATGAGTGGCACTTTGGACGATCTCAGTGATGCATTTAGGCCTAACATAATCCATGGCACTAGAGATAGCACTGTCGAAATAAATAAGTATGGAGTCCTTCTCCTCCCTCTTATGGGTATACAATCTGATATAATTCTGCAAACAAGAGCAAACCACAAGCATCAGCAACAGAAAGAACAAATATACAGAATGCTCTATTACCCTCATTATGTGAAGCAACAAAGGAAGGTACTACTTAATAGCTAATGCAAATCTGCATGGTAAAATTATACCACAATATTACTTTAGCAAATATACAGGATGCTTCAGTACCCTTCCCCAAATGTCATTATGTGAAGCAACAGGGAAAGTCATTACTTAGTAGTTAATACAAATCTGCATGGTAAGATTAAACTACATTATTACAATACTGATAGAAAAATTTAATATCTTGATTACATGCATAATCAAGAGCATGCCAGGAAAACACCACCTTTTTATCAACAATTATTCAGAGACATCATAAAATCTTCATATGGATCAAACTATATGTTCAACATACGGAAGCATACAAATGGATGTTTATTTGGGGAAAAAAAATATTTCTTAAAATTGAATCCTTGGAAGTTGGTTATGCATTGACAATTCCCTTGAGGATTACCTCGTGCGAATGGATCCCTTGGCAATTGGCACACTACGCAAAAATGAAGTGTATACTTTGACTTAGTATGCATATGCACATGCCAAGAACACTAAGCTTGTCTAAAATAACTAGAATTGGCAGTATACGGGTACAAGTACGTCTGTTTTTATAGGAGTAGCATACTTATTCAAAAGTAATAATAAAATCATACCCATATAATGGTTTTATACTCCAAGGAAAAAATGCTACCGAGGTTACAAACTGGGATGCTGCGGGAGACAGCTTCAGATCGTCCTTTAGATGGTAAGAAACTGCTGTCCACACAAAGGATCTAAAACCCTGCATTGGACAAATTTCAAGGACAAAAGCCAATCATTAAAAACAATAAGGAAGATTCAGCAGCATTGCTGCAGAAATTCCAGGCCCCAACAGCACTAACACATCACCCCCCCCCCAAACCCCCCTAGGCCCCCAACCCCCCAAAAAATAGAAAAAGGGGAAACAAAAGGTCACATAAAACTGACGAATGGGAAGAGGGTATTAGTGTTTGCTCCATTTCTGACCCTTAAACACAATATTCCTGTCAGAACATAGGTCACTATTCTGTCATAGTGTCATGTGTCTAAGTGGAAGACAGAGTGACAGATAGAGGGTAAAAGCTTGATAACTATACTCCAGAACACTAATGAAACCATCAGTTTAGTTTAGTAAAATGCTAAAGCAGCTTAACTACACTTAAGGAGAGAAGTAATAGCCAGATTAGCCACAACCTACAAAGATATATACATTCTATTATCTATAGATAAGTGTATTGCAAAATAAAATATCGGATATCAGCAATCAGTGTTAATTTTTCGCAGGCCATATCCTGGGAGACACCTATACCCCCTCACAAAAAGGTCAAGAAGATAGAATTATGAGGCCTAATCAACATTATAACCATTGAATATATGACCAAGATTGCAAATATAAATCAGCCCTAACATTCAGGTAAGGAACCTTCTTAATAAGAATAGCTGCTCGCAAACACAAGGGTTGGCCCTAATTAAGTATTTTTCGCTTTTCTTAATCAGACTTTGCTATCACTCTCTACTGTCTACACTGGCATAGGATTACTTTTTCCTCAACAACTTCACTCCCACACCAATGAAAACATCTCTCTTGTTTGTAAAACCCAATACCCAACTTACTCCAAAAGACAAACATAGATATGCACCGAGACTTATGAAGACTCATAAACATATAAAATAACCTCTTTAAGTTAATCAAATCAATGAAAACCTTCAAGACTTCATACACCAGAGCTACCTGCACCAATGTGCTGCATTTATAGCTGCTTTCTCGCCCTTCCAAAGCATCAATATGTCACTAAGCCAAGCACAAACTTTAATTCACCTATAAATTTGAAGCGCCACATGTCTGATCTGATTTTTTTCAGCAGAAAATTGTAAGCTACCAATCTACCACCCCAGCAACAAACTTTGGGAGGACATTACATCCAATCCTCTACAAGCTATGGAATAACTTATCATTGTAGCATGCTAAATTGATGTGCCAACCACATTCTCCTATTAGACTCAATATGTTTCATATGTATCCTATAAGCCTATAGATCAGCATCTCTACTAGTCTTGGTCCCATCCGAAAGCAACTAAACAAAATTTTCTTAACGTTACCATCAATTCAAAAGTTCCACCAACAATTTCTACCAAGGTAATTTCTGTAGAAAAATAAAAATACCCTAATGAGGCGGCCGGGTGTGAATCAAAGCCAGGGACTTCTCTACCTCCTGAAGACCTGAACCCCTATACTTTCCATATCATTAAAAACACATTCTTCTACCCCATCTCAAGATTGGCTGATCCAACTGGAATTTGCCAACTCTAACCAATTCAAATAGGCCAACTATAGAAGATTAACCATCTACTATGATCTTAATATAAGTATCTCACTTCATAACTCCATCAACTACTTACTACTTCAGGCCAAAATCATTAAATCACAACGACTTTTCCTATAAACTGGCAAATTTAAAAAATTAAGTAGCAATAACCATGAACATTATCAATCCTAGGTCTAAAACACAAACCCAGAACCACATAATCGCAAATTTAGCCCAGATAAATCTAAAATTAATTAAATTTAAAAAATCACACCCCACTTCATAAAACTAAAATGTCATCATACCCAGAAAAAAATAACAATCAAATTTCCCAAAATATCATCAACCCAGAAAAAAAAAAATTGAAAATCATAGAAAAATTAACCTGGGTAAAGTAGATCAAACAAATGAGCCATATGAAAGAAGCCCCAAAGGCGGATTTGAGCTGCTTCGACCATTCTATCATCGTCGATTTAATTTTTGCGCCAAATGATCAATGTCTCGACCTTTGAATAATAGCTGCATAAACCCCAGAAATTAAAATTAAACAATAATAACTACTGGGAATTTTTTGTATAAAATATTTCATGAACTCCTCAAATTCATCAGCATTTGAAGTTTTTCTGGTGCGAACTGTTTTCTGGCAATATAACGGGCGAAGTTAGTTTTTTTTTTTATAAATAAAAAGGGAAAAGAGTTGAAAGAAAATTCCAGCAAGGATTGAGGGGTGCACGTGGCGGAGAATCATTGGGTCCTGTTAGTTGTTCCCTCCCTTTCATTGGTTTATTGAATGAAGTATTTGTTACGTCCAACTTTGTGAAAACTTGAGAACAAACCTATTGACAATAGGGGTAGATCATTCAATTATGGATGTTTACTATTTACACTTGTTACTCCACCCAAAAAAAAAAAATCATAATTGTTTACTTGCTTTGATTCGGTTACTATCTTGATGGAATAGACACGTATAAGTTGACTTTGAGTCATTACGATCTCTAATAAAATCAACTTCGAGCCCTTAGAATTAGAATGGTTCGTGAGGTTGAAGTCTTCGACACTTCAATTATTTCCCCAACAATGTATATTTGAGAATATGTGAAGGCGAGTCACCTTTCCCCCTAAGGCAATATGATTTATTTGGCCCATGTTTGCTCTAGCCAAAAATTAGTTAGGTCTCAACATCTAAGCAACATTTTCTTTTGTGACTTTTGTTAGAGTGAAATTAAGGGCCTATTCTCTTACGTTGAAATTCAGTTCAGTCCAGCTCCGCTCCTAATTTCCTTTTCTTATAAAATATTCAGTTCAGTTCAGCTGAGTTAAGTCAATGAGAACAGGCCCTAAATGGAAATTAGCTTGGTTGTTAAATGTAAAGGGGCAATATTTTATATGTGATCGAATCTTGTCCGAAGCATTTGACTACTTTTACACAATTTACTTAGTTTATACTTTAATTTATAGCATGAAATTTAAAAAAATAAAAAATAAAAAATAAGTTATTTCTTATTAAATTATAAGTGAGATTGATGAAATAATGCATTGGCATACATAAAATATGAAATAGATTGATGAAATAATGAATTGGCATACATAAAATATGAAATGGTGCAAGTAAAAAGAAATAGATTTAGGAGTAGGTAGGACTTTACTAGTTTAGGGTTTACGAGTTAGGGCTTAGATTAGAGTTTAGAGTTATGGTTAAGGATATAAGTCTATGGTTTAAGGCTGTGGGTTAAGTCTTAAGGGTTAGGGTTTGTTTAGAGTTGAGGGTTAGGGTTAAGAGTTAAGGGTTAAGGTTTGGGTTGGATTTAGGGTTTATGGTTAAGGCTTAGGGTTTAGGGTTAAGGGTTAGGATTGGTTTGGGTTTGATTTAGGGTTAAGGGTTAGGGTTGGTTTGGGTTGGGTTTAGGGTTTAGAGTATTTAAATTACTGATTTGTCCTTATTTTTCTTATTCTATTTTTGTGAAATTTTATTAGAAAACAATAAATTAAAAATAATAATTCCAATGAAGGTTCTCAATTAAAAAAAAAATCAAAAGATTAGATTCACCACCATTTAATAAGATCAACCATTTAGACTGAAAATTGCCTAGAAAAATGAAAAAAATAAAATAGCCAAGCAGAAGATTTCCTTTCGCCATTATCAAACTGAAACTAGGTTTAAAAATATAAAGTAGTTGTAAAAAAAGTAGTGGACCATTTTTATTCGATTTTAAATTATAGGAAAATAGAAGAAATTGAAATGAAAAGAAGGGTTTATATTTCCAGAATTTGAAGACATTGATCTTGTTTTCTAAGAAAGAGGGAAAAAAGGGTTAGGGTCTGTTCTTATAGACTGAATTCAGTTGAACTGAACATAAATGAGCTGAACTGAACTAAACTAAACTGAACTGAAATGAATATTTTATAAGAGAAGGAAATTAAGAGTTGAACTGAACTAAGCTGAGCTCAACTGAACTGAACTTCAACGTATAAGAACAGACCCTTAATATGGAGAAAAATCAGGGGAACGAGAAGAGAAGACAGGGGAATTAGAGGAGAGAAATAACGGGAAGAAAATAAAAAAAATAAAATAAAAAAATAAAATAAAAACTGGGGAATTAATTAGGATATTAAGTCTGTATATTATTATGATGATCCATATAACTCTGAAAATATACTTCCATGAGACCTTGTGTACATCTAAATAGGCAGACCTTGAGTATTTCCATTAGAGGTATTTTTAAGCAAGCTTGTATAATAATATAAACCTACTAAACTTTAACTAATCCAAATTCAATTCGAGCTTGGTCAGGCCTCATTTAGAGGAAAGTTCTCCCAACACATGTAACTGATTCAAACACTTGTAATTTTCATATTTATGAGCTTAGTGGGTTTAATTACAATTGTTGGTTAGGATGTGGCAAAACTCCAAAATACTATGATTTCCAGGTATGCACAAATCCCTATATTGTTAATAAAAATTAGTGAAGTTGAGGGCACAACTTAGACTTTTGAAATCGCATGGGCACAGGTTAGAAACCGAAAAAATTTGGGGGCATAACTTAGAAAAACCCCTTTTTTTCTTATCGAACCTTGTATATGGCAAACTTCAACCTCCTTTAGCCTTAACTGTAGCAACGATTCATTATACTCACACAGGCTGTCTAAACAAAAAAAAAAAAAAAAAATACATATATATATTCACACAGAGAAAACGGAATAATAAGTTAAGCAGCAATTTGTCTATTTATCTTCAATGTATGCATTGCATACAGATTATTACACACCATTATGTAGCATGTTAACTTAGCAGTACATTGGGGTATTAGCAAACTGGTAAACAAACGGCTTAAGAGTGTAGGAATAACCAGAAGGACGCTTATAAGTGAACTTGACTCCAGAGCTGCCATCCCCAAGATGATTACACCGCTCATGAAAACTACTGATTGGCCGTGCTAGGCATGCATCCCAGCGTTCACTTTCAGACATTGTTTCTGCAACTGTATATACTCCTTTGGAATCAGTGAACGCCTGATAGTTCACAACCTCCCCAGATTTAGTTATGCACAGGACAGCCACCTCAGCCCCTGCATGAATACAATTATGAAGTATGACAAAGTTAGCTACTTCAGCTGCTACCATAGCCAAGGAGCTTCTATGCTGTATTTGCCTCCTATACATTTGATCACTACATATTTTCTTTTTCATTCATGCATTGCTAGGCAAGCCCATGAAATAAAAGAGTTAATTACACCTAGTTTTGGTAATTTAAGCTTCAAAAAATTTGTCCTATTCTTATCTTATATTAGGAACTAGAATGAGACATGCTCAATAGTCAATATAGCAAGTGAATGGAACCTCCTACCATAGCACATGCCACCATAAGCAGACTAGCACCATTTGGCAGCAGTACAGCAGCAATCACGTCAACAACTACTAACTTCTAATAAGTATAATTTTAATTGACATTTGAATCTCTATCTAATATAGTACTGAATATGTTATCCAGAATCAAAAGCATTTGGCACATTTCATACTGATTGTAGCTTTTAGCTTCATTAAAGGCAGGATGTAAATAAGCTGAATGCTAAGATGAATCTATCTCCTAAGAATAATATAATGACATTGTTGGTAGAGAACAGACACGTATAGGGATGATGGGTTGGCTGTTAGATTAACCAAAATAGGATAAGAATCCCCAAGATGGGTAGCTTCAAAGGCCCAAAACAGCAAAGAAAATATAATTAGTTTTTCAAAATCACTTAAAAATACTTCTGTACAAGTTTTGATGAGTTTATAGTTTGAGATCACTGTACAGTTTACACGCTCCTAGAAGAACATTCATGAAAGCCCCTAAGACTTGCCCTCTACTCAGCCAGGATGCTGCTGCAATCACAAGGATTGTTACAGTACTCGTCTAACCACATTCCCACAAAAGCTCTTTTCTAGACTTTGAATTGTTTGATTTAGTAAACAATTACAAAAAAGAAGCCTTCCATCATATGTGAGTGTCCAATCAACTTCTCAAAGTTCAACTTCATCCATGAGATATTGTAGACCCACTATCCACCTCCAAAGAGCCACCTTTGAGAGTTTGAGGGTGTAAAGAGGAGAAGAGGGGACAAGAAAGAAGCACAGCAGGGGGAAAATCAGCACAATGTGACAAAAGTCATCAAGGAAACACTAAGGGAGTGGCATCCTTGGTCTGATTATTGATGGTGAAGAATCGTAGAAGACATAGCTAATTAAGAAGTAGATTACCTATTGTAATGAAGCTTGTGTATATAAAGAAGTTGTAGAATTAGAATGTAAAGGATTATATGGAAATTGTGAGAGAACTTTGGAGAGAGAATTATAGCCTAAAGCTACTAGTTGAGAGTAGTAGCCAAGCTACCTTTTGTAAGCTTTCAAGAATTATTAAGCAATATATCAAGCTTTCATCTTGTTTAATTCTTACTGTTCGTATGATATTTACCATAAGAAAACCAGTCTATTTCATGAGATATCATATAGAAAAGACAATGATCTTTTGGTACAGGTGTACAACAGACATGGTTGAATGCCCTTGAATAAGTAAGTAGTCCCACATCACTACAAGAACAATATTTAGTATGGATTTTGTCAAAGTTCAGATTATGCAACAAGAAAGTCCCACACATAGAGCATTACATCCATTCCCATAAAAATTCAGAGTAAGAAAGTCTGCAATGCCGGAAGGGATTCATGAAATACATCCTACATATATCAGCTAATTGATCACTTTCCCATCAATTGATCACTTTGACACTTTCCCACATCAAAACTATCCTCAATCAACACTATCACCATATTTCCATGAGTATAATAATAAGCAAAACCCATATACTGTAATTTGATCAAGAAATCAATGAATTACTCTTAATTAAGAAGTACTAGTCAATTACTAGTAAAAATGCAATCAGAAGAAACCCCATTTCACACTGTCGGCAACTCGGCAATACCTAAAACAGAACAATTAAAGTGTCGGCAACAACAAATTCCATCAAAATCAGTATATACTTTTGGTAATCCAAAAACCCAATTCATATAATCCATAAAACTCGATTATACTACATACCCATCAAAATCCCCAAAAATAAGCAAGAAAACATTATTAAATACATAATCAGAAATCATAAAGTAATCCATAACACAGAATAATAGGAAAAAGATGATACCTTGAAGAACATGATCTTCAGGGCCAATTGAAGAATCCCCACAAACATCACAAACAACTCTGCCTTTAATTTCACCAGTCCAAGCAATGGCACTAGGAGTCAATACCAGTAGCAATAAAAAGAGAGTAAAAGTAGTAACAGAAAGTTTGAGATTATGACCAAAAATGGATTCTTTCTCCATTTTTATCGGTGTTATTGAATTTTGGAAGACCAAATTATCCTGATTTTTGGGGTTGAATCCTGCTTCTGGTATTGCTTTGATGGAGTTCAACCAGTTTGTTTTTAAGAGGTTTTCTTGTTTCACTTTGTGTGCACTTTTCTTTTGTTGACCTCTTCTCAAGATTTTCAGTGACTTTGGCACTTTGGGCAGTTGGGACTATGAGAGAATTTGGAGTTTTTGGACTCTCTCTATTAAGGTTGTGTCAGCTCATGTATTTTGGTTTTATTTTAATGTAAAATTAATCTAAACAAGATTTAATTCACTTGATTTTTACTTGTATTTGATGTTAATTTTTTTGTAATTTGTAAATAGGTAATTCTTATTGGATCTTATTTTTCTGAATCATTTTATAAACTTATAAGACATGAAATACCACTTTCTTTTCATATAATATTTTTGAAACAAAGAAATTTTTATTTCCCACAAATTATACCCCATGTCGCAATTAATATAAGAGTATAAGACGGAGTTAGTAAGTGAAACTAAGGTGAACAAAGTCCTAATATATGTTTGGATAGATACCCATTGTTTAGATGGCTAATGTAAGGAAGAAAGGGAAGGAAAATGGAAGAATCTATTTTCCGTCTTTGTTTAATAAACCAAACCCCTCCATTAAGTGGAGAAATTTGGAAGGAAAATGAATAGTGACCTTCTCCCTCCCCTTACCTCCCTTTCCCTTCCCTCAATTTCCTTCCCCTCCTATTCCCTTCACTATTGTTATCTAAGCATAGTGTAAGTTGGTTTAGTTAAATTAAAGTAACCAAGTTTTATTTATATGAAATTAATATTTTTGTGAATTGAGTGAATAAAACAAAATTTTAAATAATATAAGGCACAACATCTGAGAAGAAATAAAGTTTTGATGTATGCAAGAAACTTTAAAATTAAGACTCGTACTAAATGAGTCAAGCCTTGCTTGGTCCATTTAAGTATTATACATTGGAATACTTGGTTAGACTTGCCTACAAGTTTTGTGTGAGCATATGGTAACCTTAGTATGTTATGGTAAGGTTGTGGCAAGCAAGGTCATTCATGTGTTTTTTGAGATGCATATTATATTATTATGGCATAAATTTGAGTAGTTTAATTCGTTTTATGTGTTATGTTAGTAATACGTAATCCCATATTTACACTTGCTCCATGATTATCAAATACAAGCATAAGGTACTTAGATTGAGCATGCTCTTTTTTCCTCAATACCTTTGGAAGTACGTCCACAAAAGACACTTTCAAATCAAAGTTACAATAAAAATCAACTTAATGTCAATTCAACTCAAAAAATGGAGTTGACCACCCATTTAACATGTCAACTTTGAGTATTGCAAATCCTAAGATTCCTAACTATTCCCAATTAGTTTTACTATGGGTCAAAAATCAAAATTACCCAAAAATAGAAACACTACTTAGTCCAATATGAATTGGGCTCAAACATGGGCTTGATGATTTGGTATGGTTAGGTTAATCACTCATCCATCATTATTTCTAGGCGCCGGTATTATATAAACCAAACTAACAGATTATTATCTCCCATTCCCTCTTGTTCTTCAAGCTTCTTCTATGCTATATCAATCAATCGCTTTTGTTGGGTGAGATGTTCTTGTATTCTCGCCCTTTTCTGTTTCTTCATCGTAAATTCATATTGCTCATATATTATGCTGTTTTAACTCTTGTTTTCTGTTGATTATCAATTGATGTTGTCCCAATTTATGCTAAATTACTCTGTGATTTTAAAATTTTATTTCTAGTTAGTAAAGGGGTTTTCTTATAATTTGCCAAATTAACATCTTGAATCTCTTTCTTCTTTGACAATTAGTGACCAATTAATCTGGGTTATAATTCAATAGCTGTTAGTTTTCATCAATTTTTGTAATTCTTAAGGATGGATTTTTCTAAATGATTCAAAGTTTGAATCTTTTTCATTAGATCTTGTTATTTATTGTGTTTGGTATTCAGATGCTATTGCTGTTGTTAAGGTGATTTAAGGTTAGAAATGTACCACCTTTGTGAGTTTAGTTGTCACGTTACTAGTTCAAATTACGACTATTGGAGTTTTTGATTAGGTGTGTTTGTGTCATTATTTTATTTCATTGAGTTATAGGTTACATCCCAATGAAGAATGACTTATGTCCAAAATTAAAAGTAGTGGACTGATACATTCATGATGAACAATGTTATTCTGAGGGATATCTTTAATTACTTAAATATTTTCTTAGGATAAACTTAGTTTTTACAAGTGATTAGATTATATATAAAGGGCTGCGTGCTAACAGGGGAGAGTGTAATTACTTGACTCTGAAATACCTGTAGGTTTTCTACAGGGTGCCCGGCAACGCTTGCCCGAACACGAATGAATGGCATCATAGTACAGGCTTGTGCTTTGGTAATGGGTGTTTGTTTCAACTAGCCTACTTACTATGTTCTTAACAAGCCTGCCTCCAAAGGCCATTACAATCTTTTAAACAATCGTGTTCGTGTATTGAAATTGGACTCTCGATGAGTAAAAGAGAGCAGGCGAAATGATGAAATCAGTTGAGCTGAAATTCTTTTATGTGGAATTCATTCATCCGAAAATTATGCCTTCAAAGTTCTCTGATTGCTTTGCTCTCTTTTACTCAACATTTCATTTGTTGTATGTTATTTGGGTTGTGAGCACCAATTAATACGTAGTTTGGCGTGAAAAATTTGTCAAACGCTACACGAGCTTGGTGCTAAAGCAAAGTATATCTTCTCTAATTTTGGCGTGTGCTTTTATTCCATGGCTAATCGGCAAATTGGTTAGAAGAAAAAGATGATGATCAACTTCTACTTTACTTTAACTAATGCTTTGTTGTATAGTCTTTGTTCTGTTTGAGTGGCTTGCTCTGAATCAGCTGAAAATGGACATTAACTAATGCTTTGTTGTATAGTCTTTGTTCTGTCTGAGTGGCTTGCTCTGAATCAGCTGAAAATGGACATCCTTGGACATACTGCAATCTGGCTCACTCTATTGATCTGTTGAAAATGGATGGCCTTGAAACCTATACACCTAAAAAAAATGTATAGGACATACTTCGATTCCACTGGCATTCTAAGTATCTCGACATGGATGATGGATCGATTGCTTGACATATTGGACATTATTTAGCTTCAAGAATATAACACTGAAACTGGCCAAACAGCTGATCGCAATACCTTAGAAGTGGCTTGGAAGTTGGACTTGAGACAATGATTCTTGTACTTTGTAGACAACAACTCATTTGATGAAAATAAAGATGCATTGTGCAAGTGATATGGCTTAGGATATGTTTTAATTCAGATTCAAGTAAAATTTGGTTGTTGTAATGAAATAAAGATGTGTGCAAGTGATGTGAGTCATGTGACTTATAGGCTATGTTTTAATTCAAATTCAACCAAACCTATCAAAGATATTCAAAAATAAGTAGACACAAATTAAAAGATACGGAGTAAAAAATAAAATTTGATATGATCAGATCAATTCTGAATTAACCAAATATTTGCATAAGTAAACCATTTGAACACTTGAACATAGCCTTAGCATATTAGCATATGACCTTATTTATTTATTGCTTAAGTCATTGGTTTAATTACAACCTGCATCACTAAATTTACAAATTGAAAATTGATACTGCACAACCGGTCGAGCTCGTACTGCTCGCGGGCTTTGGGAGGAAATTTGGCCAAAAGGTCACGACGGCCCTCTCCATGGTGAGAAGAGGCTCTATCTTAGAACGAAGATCGGCCTTCTGCCGGGCTAACACATTAATACCATTTAAGGGAACATATTTTGACCTCAATTGAAAAAGCTGATTGAGCTGAATCTGATAATTTATGAAAGTTCAGTCTGTTATTTTCATTCTTACAAAAGATACAAACAGGATTATAAATTGTTCAGCTGAAGGCATACATCAGACTATATTAATGTTGGAGAAGATTTTAGCCAATTTTATCACAAACCGGACCTGGATCATCAATTCATCATTGGTGTAAATAATTTATTACTATCAACAGAGCAGCTCGCAATAGATTAAGGGAGGTGATTTCATTTAACTACATGACTCAAGTTCAAAAAATTCCTAAGAGGAAGCTGTAATAAACAAAAGAACAGCCAGGAAGGGGGATATCAAGCTAATGCAAATTCTTGAAAGTATATGATAATATAATCAAAGCAACATTCTCCATATATAAACTTTAAAAGTTATCATTGTTTAAGTTGAGATACACAACAGGTAAACACAGGTAATAAAAACTAGATAGTCTGACATTGTCACTCCTCCAGTAACACTTTTAGCGAACACCACACCAGTAGTTAAAAAAAAAAAAAAAAACAAATTTAACACACTATAGAACTGCAACTGCCTGAACTTTAGCTGTATGTTGCTTGTTGCTTTATTGTAAACCTCAGTAATAAGAACAGATCATCCTGCAACTTTTCTCGTAAAAGTTCTGCTGGGTTGGATCTCCTGAGATCGTCCCATAAACATGTTAGATTGGCCATGCCATCCTCCAGCCTTCATAGGTGGTGGTACTGATTGCCTGATTGTTTGTCTGCCAGAACCCAGAGACATGTTGGACAGCTTCTCTGCTGTTTCACTTACTCCACGAGTGGTCCTACCTGGGTATATGGAGGCTACATACCAATACCTTTGCATATTAGTTTCCATAGCAAGCAAGTTTTACAGGGAAGAACAAGCAAAAGAGAAGGCAAACAAAGATTTTATGTATTGACAAAACCTAATAACAATACAATTAATTCAACATGAGAAGTGACCTACATGGGCTGTTCCTAGCTGGTGGCCGATATTTTGGCTGTTTAACAGAGCTCTTAACAGATTTGTCATTCTTGTTTAAATCCTTGCCATCCATTTCCAGTTTGCGTTGTACACCCGCACCAAAGGCAACATGAGGTTTCAGATTTGTGGTCTTAGAGACGGGATGAGTTCCAGGACCAGAACTCTTCCTCGCAGATTTCTGATCAAAATATCCCCTGGTTCCCAATGATGGGGGTGTTCTGTTGACAGTTGCTTTAGGCCGTAGAGATGGCGGGACATAGAAACAATTCTGTAAAAAAAAAAAAAAAAAAAATCAATTGTAACTCCCATCTACATCATCCCATGCTAATCAAAACCAAATAAAATGTACAAATTCTCAGTTCTAGAAAACTGGTGCAGAAAACATGTCAACAAAGAATACCTTAAAGAAGGGATGCTGAAGGACCTCTGCTGCTGTTGGCCTCTGAAAGGGGTCCCAGGAACAAAGTGACTGAAAAATGCAATATATTTTCAGTTACAGAGATAAATATCACAAGCAAGCCTTGAGCTGGATTAAAAAATTAAAGCATTCAATTTACCCTAATAAGGCTGATTGCATCATCACTTGCAGAAGGTATGAGACTTGAAAGATGCATGCCAGGAAGCTGAAAAATATAATCAACATAAGATCAGTAAGGGGAAGAAATTGAGTACTAAAACAACAATGATTTGGGGATGGCTAGCATGAATCGTCATAATGAACCATCCGCAAAAAATTGATCACAGAAAAAGAGAAAAAACGAAAGTGCAACAAAAACAAAACATAGGACAAACCGACTAATACGAGGGCAGTGCAAAGTGAAAACCCAAAATCAAGTACTGCAAGAACTTAAAATCATGACCAAAATAGGTTGTACAATATTTTACAACACTGCACCACATAATGTATGATATTATTCACAATACTAAGTATTAGAAGCTTAAGTTTTAGAAGACAATTCATCAAACATTTTATTGGGATGCATGAATCGGCTGCTGAAAAATATCTACTTCACCAACAAAGATAGACAAGGACACTTACAGACTAGATGTTGATTAAAAAAACATACTAAAGAAATAAGAAACTAAGGAAATTTAGATGGAAATAAAAAACACTTGAGCATTGTTGGTACACTTAAAGACAACATGGAACTTGCAGTAAAATATTGTGAATAGAACTAAGCCTCTAGAAACATTATGCTATCAAGCAAGATAGTATTCTATAAACAACAGATAAATACAAATAGTCCTAGAACTCCTAAATATTACGACCTGCTTCATATAAACTTGTAGGAGGGTCCCATTGGTGTGCATCTAGGAGTTAAATTAATAAAATGCCTAGTTGTATCATTGGATGCTGAGACCTAATATAGGGTGATTGGAGCAGAAAGATATCCCTCTCACCAATCACTCCAGAACTCTAGAGACAGAAGAAACAGAAAAAAGGAATGTACACAGTCAATAGGCTTCTGACTCACCTGTGGAAACTGGTAATTCATTGATCTAGAAAGCATGAGCCCGTGAGCCCAAGAGTTCTCTGTTGGAGTTCCGATGACACTGCATATTTTATAGATTTCATCTGCTTCACTGCAGTAACACCAATGACAATAAATTATAAAAACAAAGGGATGAATGGATGACAAGGCAACCAGAATTCATGTATTAATATGTGCTCTTAATAATTAAAATTGATGCCCATACCTTAACCCAGGAAAAAGTGGATGAAGAGTAAACAGTTCTGCCATTATCGCACCCATTGCCCACATATCTAAAAGACCAAAAATACAAAAAGAATTCAGAATATCATAATTAATGACAAAGGTCCAACTATACAGAGACTTGGCTAAATCACTTTTTATGTCCTTATTTTAATATATTTAAAGGGGACATTAGCCATATCACTTACCCACAGCAGAAGTGTAAGTGGGAGACTGCAGCAGAACTTCAGGAGCCCTATACCTGCCACATCACAGAATTTTCAGGTATATACAACCCGGAAAAATAGGCAAATAAAGAAGAGATAGAACTCTTTAAAAAAAAAAAACAGAATAAAGAATGCTTACCAGCGTGTGGAAACATATTCTGTATAAGGTGGCCCAGAACTTACTTCTTGTGCAAGACCAAAATCAGCTATTTTGATAACATCTTTTGATACCAGCAGATTCTCTGTAGTAAAACAAGAATACAGCACTTAGCTACTAAACAAAGTAATGAAATTTGTGAACGTTAAAGAGTACTTAACTCACTGCAACTAGCACATTGCAAAGTTTACACAGACAACAAACTTAGCCAAAAAGTAAGGCTGTCTACGAATACAAACCAATACTAGTGATACTGGACAACACAGTAAGCCTATGAATCGATTTAATACCCAATTGGGAAAACCTAAGGTGTAAAAATTAGAAGGGAACTACATCAACCAATATAATTTCTGAAAATGAATGGTCAAAGTTCAGAGTTAGATTGATGCTAGTTTAACAATGATGAATTAAACAAATGTAAAGGATGAAAAATTCAAAGCCAAAGATGCCTAAAATCATGTCATTTCTGACCACGACTAGTTTTATTCAGGCAGCACATACCTGGTTTCAGATCACGATGAAAATATCCACGCTGGTGCATGTAGGCAAGGGCTTGAAATACTTGAAAACACCAATTTCTGAGCTCATTTTCAGAAAAGGGCCTTCCTCTATCCTTCATAAGTTGGTACAAATTGCACTCCTAGTAAACAAAATGTTACATGGACTGGTATCAGAAATCAGTTCGATTGTACAGAGGAACAAAAAAAACCAGGACCACGCACAAGAAAAGTTACCATATATTCAAACACAAAATGCAGAATATCATGCTCTCTAATAACTTCTTTCAGCTTCACAATATTTGGATGGCTCATCTTCCTTAGTGACTGCAACATTTCCAAATAAAAAAACTCAAAAAAAAAAACAGAGAAATGGAAAACAACAAATTCAATAGCATGATGTAATTAAAATAATGTTACCTTCACTTCTCTTAGATTAATGCATTCATCCCAGGAATAATATTTTTTCTTCATTTTCTTTATAGCAACCTGTGAACATATCTCATGATATCAAATTGCTAATCAAAAAACAATATCCCAATTTAATAGCAAAGGAATGTAACTTACAACTTCTCCACTCTGTTTATTTATAGCACGCCAAACACACCCAAAAGTTCCATCACCAACTTCCTTAATTAGCTTGTACCTGAACAAGCAAGAACTCACCTTAATTAGCAGTGCTCATCACAGAAACACAGTAAGAGGCCAAAATAATGAAGGTAGAATAAACTCACCTCTCCATTGTTAAGTCAGAAAACGATAAAGCTGAGTATCTGATGAAGGTCTCTTTATTCAACAAAATTGATAAATCACTAACACGAGAAACATAAGAAGACGATGCCCAATAGATGTCTGTAAATAACACTATACGATAATAGATTGTGTGGTTGTATTGAT